AAATTTGCACTGGTATGGTTTCTCTCCAGTGTGGGATCTTTCATGAATAAGTAGATTCTCTTTGCGAGTAAAGCACTTGTCACAAGTTTTGCACTGGTATGGCTTCTCTCCAACGTGAGATCTTTCGTGTACCTGTAGATGTCCCTTTTGCTTAAACCACTTGTCACACGTTTTACACTGGTATGGCTTCTTTCCAGTGTGGGATCTCTCATGAACATGTAGATTTCCTATGTGAGTAAACCTCTTGTCACATGTTTTACACTGGTATGGTTTCTCTCCGGTGTGAGATCTCTGATGAACATTTAGATTCCCTTTGTGGGTAAACCACTTGTCACATGTTTTACACTGGTATGGCTTCTCTCCTGTGTGAGACCTCTCATGTGCCTTTAAATTTCCTTTTTCTGTAAAATACTTGTCACAAGTTTTACACTGGTATGGCTTCTCTCCAGTGTGGGATCTTTCATGTCTTTGTAGATTTCTTTTCTTTGTAAAACATTTGTCACAGGTGTTGCAATGATATGGCTTTTCTCCAGTGTGGGATCTTGCACGAATTTGAAGATTTCCCCTTAGAGTAAAACACTTGTCACAAGTTTTGCATTTAAATGCCTTTTCCAGACAAGAGTTGCTTTCAGGTTTTGGAGTTTCTTTAGAAAGCGATTTGATTTTCCTCTTTTTGTGCGCCTGGTTAGTCATGGACGTTTTTGTTTTGGCCATCGAAGCATAAACTAGGAGACATTCCTTGACGAGAAAAGTGCTCTAAAATACTAGAGGTGAAAAAGAAAAGATTTATTCAACCAGACGGGCAAACTGGACGGGTTTCAGAAGCAATGTATTAAATTTGAATAAACAAAGAAATTGGATGGTGAGTTGGGTAAAATATGTTTCAAAAGGAATACTCTTCTAGGAAAGGAAGTTTTATTAGAACAATTGCACTAACAAAGAGATTTACTAACAGTGCAATTCCTGGCCAATGCCCTGAAAGAAAAACCTTTACACGAGTCAGGACATACAAAGAGAAGTGCATTTCCAACAAGTCCCTTTACATAGCTTCACACAACCAGTTCATTCAATCTACAGGTTGTCCCTATGATTCTTATCCTTAACCCATAGTTGTCACTGTGCAAACAATTTGTTCCGCCTGTCACCATCAAGTGGAGCAATCCAAAGTACAAAAAGTAGACAACAGAAATTTCTAATAGATACTACAAAAGAGATTCCCAATAAACTTTAATAGAAAGAATCTGGTTAAAAGGTAAAAGACAATGGTGAAAAAGTACGTAAAAGCAGTTTAACACTGCATGACTGGCTACTGTGGCACGATTTGTATAGCATTGAAAAGAACTAGGGGTTGTCTAATGATGCTAGAAGGTAGTGCCGCAGATGATTTGTCTCACATGCTTAACAGAAAACTTGCCACAAAAGCTCTCAAAAAAAGGGGGGGCAAAACCCTCTAGGGCTAAAATCCTCTAGGGTTTATATTAGTTTAAACAAAAATATTTGATGTGGGAAACTGTCTTCCTCAGTAGCTGTTTTTTTTATATTGGAGAGATATTTGCTTTGAACTTGCTGTAAATATAGCTGGTTGATAATAGGAGATATCAAATGACATGTGAGATGTGGTTTAAGGGTTCATATGAGCTACGAATGTATGAAAACTTTCAAGTTGAAAAGGGAAGTACAGCAAACCTATTATTTATTTTCTGAGTCTTTTCTTCTGTAATTTTCTATTGAGTTCAAAAGCTAAAAAAACAAGCCTAAAATTAAGGTGACAAAAAGTGGAAGATTAAAAAAAAAAGTCTGTCATATTGGATGACCTATAATATCAACACCCCCCTGTAGTCGACATAACTATCTATTTCAGGTAAAAAAACTTTTCAAAACACTGCAACACAATGAAAATTGTGGGGGGTTTGAAGATGTGTCTCCTTTGGCCAAAATCTTTCTTACTTAAAAATCTTTCTTACCTAAGTAGTCTTTTCTTACTTTTTTTGGCCAAAATCTTTCTGTACTTTTCTATTGAGTTCAAAAGCTAAAAAACAAGCCTAAAATTAAAGTGGAAAAAAGTGGAAAATTAAAAAAAAAAAGGCTGCCATATTGGATAACCTATAATACCAACACTACCTTATAGTCGATGTAACTATCTATTTCACTCAGGTAAAAAACCTTTCAAAACACTGCAACACAATGAAAATTGTGGGGGATTTGAATAAGAGTCTGCTTCAGCCAAAATATTTCAATTTACAACAAACTTTCTGCACTTACAAAGTGTTGCTGAAGACAGAGACATATTAACATAAACAGCCTTTTTGCTTGAGCAGGTATGCCCTTGACTGACACTCACACATCACATCCCATCAATAGAGTATGAATATTTTCAAATTGTATAATTTTACCAGTTTCTCCTGTGTAAGTTTTCTACCTATAATTTAAGAAAACAAATCCTCACTCAAACACATCTAAATATTTTTTCCCAACTTGATAATCATAAAAACTGACATCATAGCTCATATTACTAATATTTATGATTATCTACATTTCATTTTTAAGGAAACTATTTCATGTGACATTGGGTGACAAAGAGACAGCCATCTCATAGGAGCTTGGATTTGCCAACTTAACCCTTTAACTCCCATGAGTGACCAAGACAGAACTTCTCCTTACAATATTGATACAATATCAAGCAGATAAGTGATGAGAATAAAGAAAAATCTTAATTAGGGCATTATTAGTTGATCCATTGCCAAATTCTCCAAACTAACATCACAAGAACTATATGGCAGACAGTAAGGAGAATTACTAATGAGATCTTGGGAGTTAAAGGATTTTAAACCTTTCACTCTCACATGCCATTACATATTCTCCCTTACTGCCTGCCATATACAATTCATATGATGTTAGTTTTGAGAATTAGGTATTGGATCAATTAGTGATCCCCTAATGGATATTTTTCTTAATTCTCATCACTTGACAATATTGTGAGGATAAATTCTATCTTGGTCACTCATGGGATTTAAAAGGTTACACCTTAAGAGTGATCAGCATCTGATTTCTCTTTACACTAACAATGCTGAATCATTCATAAGATCACGAAAAAAAAAAAAATGATTGCCGACTTGAGAGGTTTTGATTGTTAAAAAATTCTCCTTATCAGTACCAAAGGAAATGAACAGAGAAGAGTGTGGAGAATATTGATGCTGATGTTAAGGTGTTGAGGGTTAAGGTTATTCCGAACCTTGGAGGGTGCATTCACACCAAAACTTTGTGTGCAATTCATAGTTTGGTTGGTAGTAATGCCCATTTAGTATGGGCATTACTATGGCTATGGGTTGAAATCCCTGCCTTACTGCTGTACTTGAAAACTATTGAAAATATGTTATTTTGGAAAAATTGCTTTCATCAAAAAATCAAAACAAACTTCTTCAGTAAGTATTTTCAATTGATAGCAGCAATTCCACTGGATTTAAAAAGGGAAAGCCCAGATGACTGATACTCCTGAACCTGAGCTACTGAATACAACCAAGGTTCCTGGAACCTGTTTCTCAAAAGTCTTGGTAACATAACGGGCCTGAAGACATGCTTGAAATTAAAATTTGAAGATTAGAGCGGCACTTTCTAGCACTCTAACCAATATATTTTGTTTCTATAGCTGATAGTTTAATTGTAGAATTTTCAAAACTTTTGAAACCCCCATTCTGAAAGGAAACATAACAGCTTTCCAAACCCATTAAATTAATGAAATCTTTGAGTAAGTCAGGCCCCTGGTACCCTAATGGATTTGACCAGCATGCACTGTTAGCATTGTTCTAAAATCATTAATGATACTAACACCACTGAACCAGCTGGTAACAAATAGGGGCAAAATACCTTTCTGATCTATTTTTAATACTGGAAAAATTCATTCTCTTTTACCAGGTATACATATATGAATCAACAAGAGACAATGAACTAAGACAGCGCCCATTCAAGCTTTTATACAGGATCAGAAAGGCCAAAAACTAAGCATAAAGACTTTGATTAACTGAGAATGTACTTTCTGCCTCTACCTAGACTCCATACAACAAACATTCATAGTTTGTGCCAACACAAATTATTTTACTCTAACGCTGCTTTTTTGTGGTCTTATAAAGTAAAGCCTCTCAAATGAATTCATAGCTCAGCTACCCCCTGGTGAAAAACCTCACAGGATCTTTGAGGATTGTCCTTGAACACAAGGATCTTTAATGGATCTTTGAAGCATCTGTTAAAGATCTTCAAATATCTTTACAAGCAAAATCATTTGTTAAGACCCTCAAGAATTTGATAAAGATCCTCAAAGAATATTACAAAGATCCTCAAAGGATATTGCAAAGATCCTCATAAGGATCCTTGCAAGGTTCTTTTCATGGATCTTTCAAGATTCTCAAGGATTTAATATGGATCTTTCAAAGACCTTCAAAAGATCCTTTCCAGGATCCTGTCAAGATCTTTGTAATGATCTTTAAGGATTTAATCAGGATCTTACTAGGATTCTTATGGTCAAGATCTTTGCAGGATCTTTTCAAGATCCTCAAGGATTTAATGAGGATCTTTCAAAGACCTTCTAAAGATCCTTTCAAGGATCCTATTGAGATCTTTGCAAGGATCCTTAAGGATTTGATTGGAATCTTACAACGATCCTAGTCAAGATCTTTGCAAGATCTTTTCAAAGATCCTTCCAGATCCTCAAGGATTTAAAGAGGATCTTTTAAGGACCTTCAAAGAATCCTTCAAAGGATACCTCTCAAGGGTCCTGTTAAGATCTTTGCTATGATCCTTCAGAATTCAATCAGAATCTTACAAGGATCCTAGTCAAGATCTTTGTAAGATCTATTCCACAATCCTTCAAGATCCTCAAGGAATTAAAAAAGATCTTCCAAAGATCTTTAAAATATTTATTTCATAATCTTGTAGGATCCCTTTGGAATTTGATGAGGATCCCAAGATCTCTACCACATCTCTACATTATGAATTAGGTTCCTTCAATGTCCTCAAGTAATTTCACAAGGGGCCCTCAAACATCTGGAAATCATGCATTTAAGATTTTATAGATACCTCTGCAGCATTCTAAAGGATTTGATTATTATATTCAAAGGAATCTTTAGATATCTTGCAAGAATCAAGTGCAAGATCCTAAGGGCAAAGATCAAAGGAACTAGTCTGTTAAGTCTGGTTTGAAATAAGTTATTTGTCAAGGGATAATTTAAAGCAGTTGATGGAATCTTCAAAGATTTGATGAGAATTTCTTTCAAATATTATCACAAGAATTCACAAGAGATCTTTTTAACTGTTCCTTTAAGATTTTTCTTGTAAAGACTAAATTGTTGAGGATCTTGCAAGATTGTGATTATTATTATGTATCATGTTTTATCTCCTATGTGACTTGTTGTGGTTTAATTATGATTTTTTGCAAATTGAGGGCTGTCTGTTTTATGATTTAGGCACAGCAAGGAATTTTCACAGAAAATTATTTTGCAATAAGGACAAGGATAAGGATATGGGCTTATGGATCTAGAGAGCTTCTCCTCAATGCTCTCTGAAGCACATGTTTGTAAAGGTGTGAAATGTACTTGATTCTGTGTAACTAAACTAAAAAGCTCTCTTACGAGTTTTTATGTGAATTCCCAAAAACACTCATTTTTTTTACCTCAAGATGTATAAGTTCAATTAATCTGAAATTTTCAGGGTTGTATCCTCTCACTGAGTTGAGTTGGATTAGCAGACAGTTTCTCTATGGGTCGAATTTTAAGCAAGTTATTGTGGAATAACTCACCTAAAAATCTTGGTGAATTTTGAATGGGTACTGTGCCCATAATATAAATGACCCCAAAATTCCTCACCTCATCCAAGACCCTATAAAGTACTTTGTTTTGACACTAAAATCACTTGATTTCATGCAATCTTGGTGCAGTTATCTTTTCTCAAGTATACTTAGGTATTTCACACCATGTGGTTTACAAATTGATCTTGTGTCAAATAACAAATTAGTTTAGGGCAACATAATAGTTACCTGTGATTGCTAAGCTTTCTTTTGGTATATAGGTTGATATTGTTCAGAAATATAATCATTGAGATACTCCTTCATGAAAAAAAGTGTCTATTTCAATGTTTACTCCTGCCTTAAGACTAGTCTGAGTCTGGTTGTAATCAAGTTCTTGACGAGTTTAATGCATATATTTTGATCCTCTTATCTCTGAGCTGCACTGTGGCTAGATTTTTTGCAAATGGAAATCTTAATACCAACCTTCCAGCATGAATAGTCCTACTAAAATAGGATGAGCAATTTTCATTTAGCAAGAAAAAAGTTTTGTCTTCATTTTCTAATGTTTGGTTCAATTTTTTTTAAAAGTTAATTTAAGGTTTTTTCTTTTGGCCATAAATCTATTGTCACCAGTGTTGTTTACACCAAGTGTGTATCAATCAAAAATCAGAAACAATACACCATCTCTTTTTCTTTTGCCCTTACTCAAATATATTTTGGAAACATTTCAAAAAATATTATTTCACAATCACGAAACAAGTTATGGCTCTCAGCCTTAAAGACATCATAATAGGTATTACAACATTGTCAGTAAAGTGAAAGGTCCCTCAAAGATCTTAACAAGAATTTAGAAGTTTCTCAAAGAATTTTCAGTGATCTTTAAAGGATCTTCAAAGTTCTTGTCAAGATCTTCAAGGATCTTGACAGGAAAATGGAAGATCCTTAATGATCTTGACAAGAACTTTGAAGATCCTTGTAGATCTTGGCAAGAAAATGAAGGATCCTTGAAGATCTTCAGAGATTTTTCAAAGATCCTCATGAACATCCTCAAGAGGATCCTCTAAGGTCCTAATTGAGATCTTGTAGGATCCTTAAAGACCCTTCTAAGATTTTCACCAGGGCAGGCACCAACAGTGAAATCAAATATAAAATAAAGCAGTTGGTTAGTAAATGACTTATTTGACACTTGTTGTGCTTAGTATTGCTGACTAATTTTACAATTTGTGCCAACACTAAACATTAATGTTAGGTTGTGATCCATGCATTACTTTGGTGTTCCATTTTCACACAACTTCTTTCTGACTAAATGCCATTAACATGTGTATTGCACGCATTAAGAAAGAAACACTTAATCCCATTTTACCCTTATTTCTGATCCTTTGTTTTCTATTCCTTAGAACTCCAACTGTTTTCAACTTCCCCTACAAGGTTCAAATTATCGGGATTCAACTGTATTCATTTTTTGGGCCACATGGAGGCTACTGTTTGTGTAAACCAACAACTTTGACACTCACTCCCCCAAGACTAACACTTCAGTTGTGCATGTAATTATGAGCCTTAAGTCCTGTTTACTTATCAAATATAACACATCACCAAGAGAACAAATTTTTTTCAACCCTAAATTATGAATAACCCATTTATCTCAGCATCCGAGTGAAATTTGATTATGTGACTCCTTGTAATGGAATGAAAGAAATTTGCCACGCTACCAGTTGTTTATCATCATCTCTTAATCAAAGTTCATGTAAACAGACCCCGTTGACCTAAAGTTTTCAGCACCACAACAAATGACCTAGTCACATATGACAATTGCCTAGACGAGGCGAGAACCATCTTTCTTATTCTTTAAAAAATTATATTTTAAATGAAAAGTTACAAAAGTTCTACCACGCGAAAGAAGATGAACTGAGCTGTTCATGAATTCTTGGCATGAATTGTTGTCCTTGTAACACTTGACTGCTTGAAGAACACTACTTGAAAGTCACGCACGAGAGCCGCGATCGGAAATACTGATCTTAAAAATTGCGTTTCAAGTTTCCCGAAAATTGATAATAGGCAACTTATTCTAGCAAAATACGTTAAAACGGGCTTTCGCTCGAAACGCGGCACATCGAAAGCATTCTCTGCTGTGCTGACTTAAGTCACTGTTAATTACGTTGACACTTTCACTCGAAACGCGGCACATAGAAAGCATTATCTGTTGCGTTGACTTAAGTAACAGTTGATTACGCACTCTTTCATGCATGCACTTTCCACACTAATGCGTGGTGAATTTGATTCAATAAGAAAAAGAGAAACAGAGAGATCGATTTTTCTTTCTGAATTAAATAGAGCGTAAATTTAGCAATGAAAAGTTTACTTATCTATATTCAACGTTTAATCTTGCAGCTCAGTAGCCTGCATGTATACAACTCAAGTAAAATTCACGATCTCCAAATTGTAGCTCCTCCACATTGTAAAGATCATCTTGGCTTCTTCTTTCTTTTAAAATATCCCGTACCCAAAAGTTCCTCGAGGGGCCTTAGTTTTCGAAGGTCCTAGTTTTCGAGGGGTCTTAGGTCTTGGGTCATGTCTTAGCTTTCGTGACATCCAAAAAAACGTACTACTGAACCATTACTGTCATCGTGAAATAATAAGCTAAATTTATCATTTTGAATCTTACCTAGGATCTTTATATGTGTTCCACAGCGATTTCCTTCAAGACACAGTATTATATGGAGTTAGATCGAAGAAAAATTGGTATCTTTCGTTGGTGCCGTGGAGACTTAACTCGACGCTTCTCTAATTCCTTCACATTTCGTGCTGTTGAAACGTGATTCGTCTCGTAGCACTCACAACTGGTGACCAGCGGTAACTACATTTTTACTCCTCATGTTCTGTATATCGTCTCTTTCTGAGAAAATCTACTTTAGCACACTGAGTTTGCCATAAACTAAGGTTCATTCTTTTATGAAGAATGCCATTTCTAATGTTATAAGAAAATTGAAAAGTGTGCTGGTTTCGGTAACGACCGCAACGAAATTGATTATGCTTTGTACCGGGTGAATCAATTGCTAGCGTTGTGCATTTAATGTCAAATCGTTTGGAAAGGCGGCGCGTCTGATGACGTTCTTGACCTCGTGATAGAAGCATAAAGTTATTTGCGTTTGGAAGATAGAAATAGACAAAGTGCTGGATGTTCTCGAACCTTGCCAGTAGTACATTCTGGCGAAAAGAGAAGACCAGCCTTTAAGGTACCACGATTAATATGGTAAATAAAATAACACACGAATAAAGTTAAGTTTGATCCTCCGAATGGAACGCAATTTATGCAAGTAGCAAAAAGAAGCCTGAAAAATTCAGATCTTCAATAGGGTTTGAACCTGTGACCTCGAAATGCTGGTATTGATCTCTCTTACTTTCCTGTTTTGGATATTTATGTGAATGAACTAATTGATTCTAACAACAACTTCTGGCTCGAGTATTAGGCTTTTTCAATTTCAGTACCATGCAACAAAACTAAATAAAATCTTAATGTAGATTTCATACTGTATATTCAGGAATTATTGAATGCCAACTTTCTGCTAAGGGTATCTTGAAATTCATGACAGGTTGTCAGCAAAAGCCAGCCCTTAGCATCCAATTACCCTTCAAAGTCTCTTTTGTTTATGGAAGTCCAGAGAATTGCAAATGTCAGACAAGTGCCTCAACTTGTTACTTACATTTGCATTTGCACTTCATATCAACTCCCCTCAATGCTAAAGGAGTGTTATGGTTTTGGTCTTTTCTGGACTTTCTTTTGGAGGATACAGCAGATAGAGGCATTCAAATCAAAGTGTTAGTACAACTGAAAGCTGTAAAGCTGCCTTGTTTGATGCTCAAATTTTGCATATTCTTGTCTTGTGAATAAGAAGTACCCATCGCTGCTGTATTGTTCCACTTATGAAATTGATATTCAAAGACCAACACAAGGATAAATCTCCTCATACAAGCTGAAAAAAAATTTCAAGGAACTGGCCTGATGGTTGAAATTAAAAAATTGTAGAGGCCACATAGATTATGGACCCCACCAAGCATGTATTGTAGAGAATGCTCCAAGAGTGAACTAGTGCTGAAACTAGTAACACAGATACCTTTTTTTAGTTCTGTTGCAGTTTGTTTGAACTGGTGATAAACAAGAAAGTAATGTTTACACAAGGTGAGGATAAAAGTAAGAATGAGTTTGCAGAATGGTATGTCTTGTGGAATGACGTAACTTTTGGTGGAGTTAATGTCATCCTTACTATACCTTTACCTCTGACCCTAGCCCTATTCATAATCCTGATGTTCAAAATTACTAAGGTTAGGGCAAGGTTGTGATACTACATTCCATATTAATTTTACCATTAAACATACTCATTCCACCTTTCATCCTCACTAGTGCATACAAATAGCTTAATTTGTTGTTTCGGTTACTTAATCTCCAAAATTTGTTTTATTTTCTTGCCAAATTAATAACTGTTACATTTCAAACTCTTGGTTTTCATTGGCTCTGGCAGCTGAAAAAGGGCTGACCCTCTTGTCAGTGAGCAGAAATTCTACTCTTCCTCTTGCTTTTATAAAACCAAGTCATGGATAATCTCTACAGCTTTGATGTAAAGGTCTATTCCATGACAATCAGATTGATCTAGTGAGATAACTTGGGGTTGAAAAAGATTGAAAGATGCTCTAGACAAGGGCATTTCTGGATCTTTAATTGTCTCGTCCTTCCTCTCCATTATATTCTTCACAATGTGGAGGACCATGATAATAAAGTTCACAGGATGTTTTTCCTACAGGTACATCTTGGTCCAAGTGATACTGATTTACACCATACATCCAGAGTTGATCAGGTGTTATGTTTGATTCAGAACTGAGAGGATGGTTTTTAAGCTATCTTGAAACAAGGATAGTTACAACTATATTTGAGGCAAAAAATACATAATGCAGGCAATATAAGTGCAATTCATTGCTTATCTCAACGTACCCTTAGTATTCAAGAAACCAAAATAGATGGTAAAACACGTTCCTAGGTCAAACGAATTCCAAGTAAGAATGCTTTCATTTTGCGAGTGCCACATTTTGGAAAATTTTGCAAGGTTATCTTCACAAAGTCACCCAAACACTCGTCAGAAATATCAGTATTCTTTAGCTCCTCCTTCCGTAAGTTAAAAGGTTGAATTCATCCACTAATTGTTTTCCTGACTGTGCCAAACATTTCTCCAATTTTTTAAAGTATCCACACCTTAGTTACAAATTAAAATTCTCTCGTGGTACCATGAAGCCTTGTATTGCTACTTTGCCAGAACGTACTACTGGCAAAGTTCGAGAACATTCAGCACTTTGTTTATTTCTATCTTCTAAACGCAAATAACTGCATGCCTCTATCAAGAGGTCAAGAACGTTATCGGATACGCCGCCTTTCCAAACGATTTGACATTGAATGCAGAACGTTAGAAGTTGATCCACACGATACAAAGCGATCAATTTCGTTACGGTCATTACCGAAACCAGTACACTTACCAACGTTCGAATAACATCAGAAGTAGCGTTCTTCAAAAACAATTCACGTTGGTGGAAGGAGAACTCCGGCAGTGTGCTGAAGGAGATTTTCACAGAAAGAGACGTTACATTATGTGACCAATAAAAACGTGGTTACCGCTGGTCACCAGAAGTGAGTGCCACGGCACGAGTGACTCAAGAAGCGACATTAGACACGCCACGAAGATAGCACGTGAAACAGAACCTTCTTTCGACGACATGACGAGGGGGGCTCGGAAATGAAAATTATAACTCCACGAAATATGACTCGACGACACGAACAACAAATACCAATTTTGTCCCCGATCTGACCACATAGTATTATAAGGCTGTGTTATCGGGCCATGTTATCGGATCGTGTTACCGAAGCCATCTTGGATGATTAGGCTCATTTCCGGGTTCCTCTCGATCTTTCTTTTTTTCCAATGAATCAAGAGAGGACACTGGGATCGAGATTGGATAATGAATATATTATTATTGTATCTCTTAGAGTGAGCAGCAAAGTGATTAAAAAGTGTAACATTTCCTCCACTCGTATACACTGATTCAAGTTCTCACGAATCTGAAGACGCTATTGATTTTGAGTCAGTATTTAAGCACGGGGGAGGGGGGAAAGAGGGGAGATGGTTTCAACTGAGTAATCCCTTGGCTGAATCGCCTCTACACTCTGGGCACTATGATAATCAAACGTCGCGCAGGATGTACTTAAAACATAACGTTCCTTGATGCTAAAATCATGAAATTAATCTCTGAAATGAACACTCATTTTCATATTACGTGTTTCAAGATTAGAAATGTGTGTGCTTGAAACGTTTATTGACCAGGTAAAAAACTCAACGGCTTATTTAAAACTTGAATGGATGTTAAACCCATGAAACAGTTAGACGTTAAAGTAGCTTGAAAATAACAATAATGATCGTGTGCAAATTTACTTGAAACGAAATGAATTCACATCGCAACCTTGTATATCGTATTTGGTCACCTTTGCTATAAGGATTAAAAAAAACTTTCCTTGCTGTTTTCTTGTGGCCATTTTTTCAAACGCAAAGAGGTCCATATAAAGGTTAAAAAAGTTTCCCTTAATTTATCGTAAGAGCGTTTTGTTTTTAGTTTGTTTGCTTCACTTTGACCTTACACTAATGGGTAACCTATCGCCAAGACCCCAGAACCGCAAAGAGTGTTCCCTGATCAAAAGTGTGAGAGATGGGAGCCAAAGTTTTCTTGTCATTTGATTCTGCAATGAAACAGCGGTTATCAGGATCGAGCAAAAGCTAAATAAAATGTGTGCTGCAATCAGCCAAAAGCAAATCAGATAGACTGATCAACAATAAAATCAAGGCAACTTCATGTGTTCATCATAGTGGCTAAGAAGCTGGGAAGCGCTGCTCAGTTCCTCCTGGCAAATCCAACAAGTAAATGTTTCATCGTAATTTGAGGAATATGGCTGCTGTTCAAAGTGCAATCTTTCGTGTTTTAGTAGTGTACTTTTTCGAGAAAACCGCTTTTCACACATTTTGCACTGGTATGGCTTCTCTCCTGTGTGAGCTCTTTCATGTCTTTGTAAATTACCTTTTTCAGTAAAACACTTGTCACAAGTTTTGCACTTGTAAGGCTTTTCTCCAGTGTGTGATCTTGTATGTATTTGCAGAGTTCTTCTTGTAGCAAAATACTTGCCACAAGTTTTGCACTGGTGTGGCTTCTCCCCTGTGTGGGATCTTTCATGTGTTTGTAGATTACATTTTTGATTAAACCACTTGTCACAAGTTTTACACTTGTATGGCTTTTCTCCAGTGTGGGAAATTTTATGTATTTGTAGACTTCTTCTTGTAGTAAAACACTTGTCACAAAATTTGCACTGGAATGGCTTCTCTCCAGTGTGGGATCTTTCATGTATCTGCAGACCTCCTTTTGAGGTAAAACACTTGTCACAATTTTTGCACTGGAATGGTTTCTCTCCGGTGTGTGATCTTTCATGTATTTGCAGATTACCCTTTTGAGTAAACCACTTGTCACATGTTTTACACTGGTATGGCTTCTCTCCTGTGTGGGATAGTTCATGTCTTTTTAAATTGAATTTTTGAGTAAACCACTTGTCACAAGTTTTGCACTGGTATGGCTTCTCTCCAGTGTGGGATCTTTCATGAGTTCGTAGCCCTCCATTTGAAGTAAAACACATATCACATGATTTGCACTGGTATGGCTTCTCTCCTATGTGGTTTCTTTCATGGACTCGAAGACTTCCCTTTTGTGTAAAACGCATATCACAATATTTGCACTGGTATGGCTTCTCTCCAGTATGTGATCTTTCATGTACTTGTAGTTGTACCTTTTGTGTAAACCAATTGCCACAAGTTTTGCACTGGTATGGCTTCTCTCCAGTGTGTGATCTTTCATGTCTTTGTAGATTTCCTTTATGAGAGAACCACTTGTCACAAGTTTTGCACTGGTATGGCTTCTCTCCAGTGTGGGATCTTTCATGTGTTTGTAAATTACCTTTTTGAGTAAACCACTTATCACAGGTTTTGCAATGGTATGGTTTCTCTCCAGTGTAAGATCTTTTATGTATTTGCAGACTTCCTTTTGTAGCAAACCACTTGTCACAAGTTTTGCACTGGTATGGCTTCTCTCCAGTGTGGGATCTATTATGTTTCTGTAGACTTCCCTTATGAGTAAACCACTTGTCACAAGTGTTGCACTGGTATGGCTTCTCTCCTGTGTGGGATCTTTCATGTAGTTGAAGATGTCCCTTTTGTGCAAACCGCCTGTCACAAGTTTTGCAATGGTATGGCTTCTCTCCTGTGTGGGATCTTTCATGTATTTGTAGATGTCCCTTTTGTGTAAACCATTTGTCACAAGTTTTGCACTGGTATGGTTTCTCCCCAGTGTGGGTTCTTAAATGTACTAGCATATTTCCCTTAGATGTAAAACACTTTTCACAAGATTTGCATTTTAATGCCTTTTCCACACAGCTTTCAAATTTTGCAGATTCTTTATACATTGATTCAATTTTCCACCGTATTGTACCTCCTCAGTACAAGATGTTTTGGTTTGGGCCATGTTAGGGCCAACTAAGAGACAGCAACATTATCTGAAATGCCAGAAGAAAAAAAAATACATTTATTTAGCTGGGTATGGGGATATTAGACAGGGTTTTACCCTTTACATTCAGTAAGAACAGATTAACACTCGTAGTAACAAGAGGGGGTGAGGGGAGAGGTGGATGCCACACTACCTCTTAGTTTTTTCTTTAATTTTATCAAGAGGCTTTTATCTGGGCAACTACTGATATCCTCTTCAGTAGCTGTTTGTTTCTCATAAAGTTATACTTGTTTTAATGTTTGTAAAATTTGCCTGATAGATACTGGAGATGTTAAATGACAAGTAGGGTGTGGTTGAGGGCTTGATATGAGCTATGAAAGAATGAAAGCTTTAATGTTAAAAATGAAAGTATAGTAAATCTATAATTTATTTGCTAGTCTGATTTTCTATTATCCTGTTAAGTTTGATAGCTACAGTTCTTTTGACAAGCCAAAAATAATAGTGAAAAAAGTGAAAAATAATGAAAAAAAATGACTGCCATGTTGAATGACATCACTGGTTCCCTTGCAGCATTATTTGTATATGTATCCCATAATATTCACATCATACAATCTATCTATTTAAGGTAAAAATCTTAAAAAATATTGCAACATAAAGCTATGGAAGGGGGGGGGGTTCCAATCACACCCCCCTCTCCCTTGTACCAAAATAGAGGTATGCCTTCTTTCTCCTTGTACCAAAGTAGGGGTATGAGTTTGCATGTACATGTTTGTCACCTCACTTAAAATATGTTCATATGGTTTTCTCCCAAAATATCTGTACACCAAATTACTTAATGTATCTACATTTATTTTGTAAGGAAACTCTTTCATATGGCTTTGGGTGACAAAGGGAAAGCCATATCAAAAGAAGTAAGACTTACAGTTACTTCAAACCTTCCCAGGCAAGTTCAAGAAAAATTTGGTCTGTTGGTCCCATGTAGTACCTATGTAGTACCTATGTAGTAACTATGTAGTACCTATGTAGTACCTATGTAGTACCTATGTAGTAACTATGTAGTACCTATGTAGTACCTATGTAGTACCTATGTAGTAACTATGTAGTAGCTATGTAGTACCTATGTAGTATCTGGGAGGCATGTGTTTGAATTGCATCCAAAACCTAATTTTTTCTTTTCAGGCTTCCTCTCTGCAACTGCCTGAATTGCTGCTCACCTACAAGCATCATTGCTTTTCTTGAGAATTATTGAAAACAACAATGGAAAACTACTTCTCCTATCCATTTTGAAGACTGGGAGATTAAACTCTCTTTTACTGGGCATACATGAGTCAACATGAGACAACAAACTAAAACAACTCTCTTTTAAGCTTTTACACAGAACTACAAAAACCAGAGTATAATTATTTAGAATTTGATTCACAGATGTGAAACATATTCTTCAGGCCAAAAAGCCAGACTCATGAGTATGTGACAAAAAGCTTTGACTCCGTCTAAAGGCTTTAGCATCGTGGTTAAATAAAGTGTAGGCTTTTAAATGACTTCATTGCCAACGTAATTTAACCGAGATACCAGTGGCCTCGAAATATAAAATAAGCAGTTGGATGATGAATAACTTTAGACGCTTTAGGTGGGCAGTGTAACTGAGTATTTTTACGAGTTGTTCTGGCACTACTCGTAAGTAAAAATAGTTCGTGATACTACACACCAAAACGTCTGAAAATAAGATACATACCAAACCATTACTTCCGTCGCAGAGTATTGGGCTAAAATTTAACATTTTTACTCTTACCTTATGTTAATATGTGTTCCACAGTGATTTGCTTCAACACAGTGTTAGCAAAGTCAACCCACAAAGGACGCCATCTTGTAGATGCAGCCTCGTTCCCGGGTCTCTCTCTCTTGTATCCATAAAAGAGAAAGAGATGACACTGGGAATGAGCTTTGCAAATTGAACAACTTTTGGCATTTGGAGTAACCTTTTGAGCAAAATATAGATTCAAAGCAGATGTCAAGCGCGAAAAGTTCAACGATTTCATAGAAAACTTCAATTCATGCAAATTCTTGAATCGATGACTTAGGTTAATATGTGAAAATCAAATATGTGTACTGCGGGTTAAGAAATGAATATCAAAGCGATCTTCGCAGTAATGAAAACTACTTGAGTAGTGCTGAAAATAAGGCCTGGAAAAATTCAGGCCTGTACGGGATTTCAACCAAGATAATACAGTGATATTCTCTTGATTTGAATCCTTGAACTCTACGATACCGGTGCAGCGCTCAACGAACTGAGCTAACAAGCCAACTGAAGCTGGTCATTATGTTGATTTGTAATAAACCTGTGATTTTTAATTTCAGTTTCAGGCCTTGTAGACCTTTTTTGTCTGATCCATTCGCCTGCGAAAGTTAATTATTTACCTTCATAATTATTTACCTCCATACTTATAGATATAACAGATGTATTCTGCTGACAAGAATAGATACTTCCGTCGTGAAATTCTCTAGGGCCAGCAGCTAATTTAATGAATTCTTCCCGAAGCACAAACAACGGTGGTAATTGTAATAGAATAATTTTAAAATACCCAACGTTTTCTATGCCAAGAGATGTTATGTAACGTGAAATTAGACCCTGAAAACCTTGTTTAATTAAAAGGAACAGCAACTGATAAAAAGCATGAGAGCTTTTTACTGCTGACATACTCACCAAAGAAAGGTTCGGCGTAATTAAAGGCTATTTTCAAAACCAATAAAATTATAGAGAAGGGATACTCGGCAAAAGAAAGAACAGAACTCTTCTCTACTTTAACTAGCGACTGAAAACTGAGCATTATTTAGAACGTAAGGGAAAATTTACACCAGTATTAAGATCAAAACCCTTCAAACCATAACGATCTGGGCATGTAGCAAGTTTGCTGTAGTCAAGTAATGTTTAAGCTTAGAGAGGGCCTGTTTATATGGAGGTGAGAGGCTGCAGATAGGTGAGGTAGCCCGCCTAGCCGGGGTCGAAACATAGCTCGCGTTTACATACAATCTTACTACCCCGGGATCACGGGGTGAAGTTTGATGAGGCTGTTGGCGCGCTTCCAAATGTGACATGAACGTGACCCTGGCTAAGCGGGTTACCCCACCTTTAGACGTTTACCCCGGCTGAAAGGGTCACCCTATCCGGCAGAACGGGCAACCTGCAAAAGTGGGTTACCCCACTTATCATGTGATCGCGATCGAAATCAAATAAGACATTATATGGGCAGTCGGGCTATCCCACCTACGCAGGATACCTCACTTACCAGAGGTCCCCCACCTCCATGTAAACGGGCCCTAAATGTATGAGAGAATTTTTAGGGGTAAAAAAGAGAGCTACGTAATGTACATGTGACATCCCCAGATAAACAAACGTGTGTTATTAAAACGAAAAAGCTTAAAAAGCTTCAGATTGGCATTTACAACCACATAGTCTTGAAATTTTACAGCTAATACTAAGTATTTAACAGGATCTCTTTTCATTGTTTCTTTTTTAATTTTTCAAAGGTAGATCTTAGATATTTCGATCGCTTCTTTGGAGAAGGGTCATGATGTGCCAATACACACTGCCATGATTAGAATGTTTTTTGGGGGAAAAAACTTGAAAAGGTTGAAGCCTTCACAACTGCACGGCTTCATAGGTGTCACGTGACTTGGCCAGTGCTACGTTATGGCGAAGCTTGCGTGATACAAAAGAGCCTTATGCCCTATCTTACTTCAAGCGCTGATCCCGTTCTCCATGGCAAGAAATGTCATGTCCTGACCTCAAGCTTAATATTTTCTAGTCCGGCTCTCCTAATCAGTCGATAAGTACATACATATGATTACAAAGCGAATTGGAATCCACACAGTCCCACCACTATTATAACTGTTCGCCAGATAGTAAAAAAAAAGAAATTTCGATTCCTTAACCCGTTTGAGATGACAAGGACGGCAGTGTTGCCTCCGACCTGACTGTCGGCGTCCGTCCTGACCTTCTATAATGAACGTCAAACTGCTTGGACGGAAAACCGCCTACAGACACCGTCAACCGTCCATAGAGCTTTTCCCTGAAGGCAATGGCTGTATACATAATCAATCTATCATTTCGTAAAAAAGGCTGTAGTTATTCATCGTAGTGAATAACAATAAAAGCTAAGTGTTCCGTTTGTCTCACGATGTAGTCACATGTGATGTAGATTGCGGCGTTTCGACTGCACACTGCTAGTCTTCTTCAGGCGATGGGGTCGACTGGTCATGCGTGATCTTCTAAAGCATGATACTCTGCTGTGATTGGCTGTTTTTTCAACAGCTCTGATTGGCGCATTACGATCCTTGCTGTTTCACTCAGTAATTTGCTCCCCAAGCGGTCCGCTTTCGCGCGGATCTCCCGTTGTTGTGTTTTTTGATCGTGGGCATCCACGCTTCTGGAATTTCTCTTCCACCATCCCTATTGATGTTGTCAGGGTGAAGTCTTATATGAATGCGAATCAGAGCTGTTGAAAAAGTAAACCAATCACAGCAGAGCATCATGCCTTATAACATCACGCATGATCAATCTATCATTGTTGTATCTCTTATAGTGAGCAGTATTGTGATTTAAAAACTGTAACATTTCCTCCATTCGTTTACATTGATTCGAGTTTTAGCGAGTCTGAAGACGCTATTGATTTTGAGTCAGCAGTTAAGCAGGGGGGAGGGGGGTGGGATGGTTTCAATTGAATAATCCCTCAGTTGATTGAATCGCCTCTACGCTCTAGGCATCATGATAATCAAATGTTGCGCAAGATTTACCTAAAACATAACACCATCCTTTGGTGCTCAAATCATAAACACTCATTTTCATATCCCGTGTTTCATGTCCACATAAATAATGGAAGGGCTCTCAAAATTAGCAATGTTTGTGGTTGAAACGTTTATTGACCAGGTAAAAAATTCAACGGCTTATTTAAAACTTGGATGTTAAACCCGTGAAACAATTGGCCGCTCAAAGTAGCTTCAAAATAGCAGTAATGATCGTGTGCAAATGTAGCTGAAACGAAATAAATTCACATCGCAACCTCGTATATCCTATTTGATCACCTTTGCCTTGATAATATTATAAAAAAACTTTCCTTATTGTTGCTTTTGGGTAATTTTTTTCAATCGCAAAGGGGTCCATGTGAAGGTGAAAAAAATTTCCCCCTAATTTATTTTTGCTTTTAGTGTGTTTGCTTCACTTTGACCTAAAACTACTGGGTAAGCTTTCGCCAAGAGACACCAAGAACTGCAAAAAGTGTTCCCTAATCAGAAGTGTAACGGATGGGAGCCAAAGTTTTTTTTCTCACTTCAGTCTCCTTAAAACAGCAGTGTTGACGATCAACTTAAAGTTACATAAATATATGTTCCAATCAGCCAAAAATTAATCAGATACACTGATCAACAAGAAAATCAAGGCAACTTCATGTGTTCCTCATAGTGGCTAAGGAGCTGGGAAGCACTGCTCAGTTCCTCCTGGCAAATCCAGCAAGTAAATGTTTCATTGTAATTTGAAGAATATGGCTGCTGTGCAAAGTGCAATCTTTCGTGTTTTTGTAGTGTTCTTTTTCGACAAAACCACTTCTCACACATTTTGCACTGGTATGGTTTCTCTCTAGGGTGGGATTTTTCATGTCTTTGTAGACTACCTTTTTGAGTAAAACACTTGTCACAAGTTTTGCACTTGTATGGCTTCTCTCCAGTGTGTAATCTTTTGTGTATTTGCAGACTTCTTTTCGTAGTAAAACACTTGTCACAAGCTTTGCACTGGTATGGCTTCTCTCCAGTGTGAGATCTTTCATGTCTTTGTAGACTAATTTTTTGAGTAAACCACTTGTCACAAGTTTTGCACTTGTATGACTTCTCTCCAGTGTGGGATCTTGTATGTATTTGCAGATCTCTTTTTCTAGTAAAACACTTAGCACAAGTTTTGCACTGGTATGGCTTCTCTTCAGTGTGGGATCTTTCATGTATTTGCAGACCTCTTTTTCTAGTAAAACACTTGGCACAAGTTTTGCACTGGTATGGCTTCTCTCCAGTGTGAGATCTTTCATGTCTTTGTAGATTACCTTTCTGAGTAAAACACTTGTCACATGTTTTGCACTGGTATGGCTTCTCTCCAGTGTGGGATCTTTCATGTATTCGTAGACTTCCATTTGAAGAAAAACACATATCACAAGATTTGCACTGGTACGGCTTCTCTCCAATGTGGTTTCTTTCATGGACTCGAAGACTTCCCTTATGTGTAAAACACATATCACAATATTTGCACTGGTTTGGCTTCTCTCCAGTATGTAATCTTTCATGTACTTGTAGATTTACTTTCTGGAGGAACCACTTGTCACATGTTTTACACTGGAATGCCTTGTCTCTAGTGTGTGATCTTTCATGTATTTGTAAATTATATTTTCGATTAAACCACTTGTCACAAGTTTTGCACTGGTATGGCTTCACTCCAGTGTGGGATCTTTCGTGTTTTTGTAAATTACCTTTTTGAGTAAACCACTTATCACAGGTTTTGCAATGGTATGGTTTCTCTCCAGTGTGGGTTCTTCTATGTACGTTTAAATTTCCCTTAGATGTAAAACGCTTTCCACAAGATTTGCATTTCAATGCCTTTTCCATACAGCTTTCAAACTTTGCAGATTCTTTACACATTGATTTGATTTTCCACTCTATTTGTACCTTCTCAGTACAGGATTTTTTTGTTTTTGCCACGTTAGCACCAACTGAGAGACAGCAAAGTAATCTAAAGTGCTAGAAGAAAAGAAAGACAGAGTTGTACCATTTACATTCAGTAGTAATAAATTAACTCTCAGACCAAGAAGATGGGGGGGGTTGGATCAAGAGGCTTTTATCCGGGCAACTGTCTACTTTTGTAGCTGTTTCTTTCTCTTGGACACATATTTGTTGTCATTTTGGTCAAATTTGGCTAACAGATATAGGACATATTAAACTACAAGTAATGTGTGGTTGAGGGCTTGATATGAGCTAGTAAAGAATGAAAGCTTTTATGTTGAAAAGGAAAATCCATTAAATTTATGAGTCACTTTCTGAGTCTTATTTTCTACTTTCCTGTTAAGTTTCATAACTACTGTTCTTTTGACATGCCAAAAATAATAGTGAAAAAAGTGTAAAATCTGAAAAAAAGGTCTGCCATGTTGAATGACATCACTGGTTCCCCAGCAGCACCATTTGTATATGTATCCCATAATATTCACATCATAACAAGGTAAAAACCATATAAAATATCGCAACATAATGCTGGGTGGGAAGGGTGTCCCATCAACCCCCCCCCCCTCAGAGGTACGAGTTTGCATCTACATGTATGTTACCTCTCTTAAAATACATTTATATGTGTAGACCAAAATATCTGTACACCAAATCACTAACATGTTTCTACATTTATTTGGTAAGGAAACTCTTTGACATGACTTTGGGTGACAAAGGGCCAGCCACCTCAAAAGAATTAAGACTTATAGCTACTCCAAACCTTTCCAGGCAAGTTCAAGAAAAATTTGGTGTAGTGGTACCTATGTAGTACCTAGTTAGTACGTGGGAGGCATGGGCTTGAATGTCATCCAAACCTCATTTTTTCTTTCAGGCTTCCTTTCTGCAATTGCTTGAATTGCAAGCCACCTGCGAGCATCATTACTTTTCTTTACAATTATTGAAAACCATATGTTCTTTTGGAAACACTGGTTTTATCAAAACATCCTCTATGTTCAAGATATCTTTAATATACATCTGAAGAGCCCAGATGAATAAAACTCCTAAACCTGAGCCACTGAATACAACCAAGGTGCCTGGTACCCTTAGCAGATTTGACCAGCATGCACTGTACACATCATTATAAGATCATTAAAGATAGAAACACCATCAAACCATCTGGTGACAAAAAGTGGAAAACTACTTCTCCTATCTATTTTGAAAACTGGGAGATTAAATTCTCTTTTACTGGGCATACATGAATCAACATGAGACAACAAACTAACATAACTCTCTTTTAAGCTTTTAAACAGGATTACAAAAACCGGAAGATGATTATTTAGAATTTCATTAACAAATAGTACAAAATATTCTTCTGGCCAAACCCAGACTCATGGAGCGCAGACTGTGACAAAGAAAAAACTTTTACTCGCTCCAAAGGCCCTAGCATCATGGTTAAATAAAGTATAGGCTTTTGAGTGCCGCTTTCCCTAAGAGTGGTCCCTTCGACTTCCCGTTGGAGAAAAGCTTTCTTTTACTTTTTCCGTATCGAGGCCAAAATGACCGGAAAGAAACAAATTAAATTACCTTGTACTCGAGGATTTCGTTGAAGAGCTGTTATTACTTCAAATGACTCGATACGTCGTCCTGGCATTCGACGACAGAAATCAGGGCTGAAATACCCGCAGTCACCACAATCTTTCCTTTCCATGAATCATATAAACATTAAAAAGAAAAAAATCTCAGTAAAATTCTTCGGTCTGTTTTAATAGCTTTTGAAATGAAACAGGTCATTTGACGAGGGAAAAATTTGCACAATCGCGTCACGCAATACGTCTAGCTGGGGTATATTCAGTTCAGTTGATTTTGATGGTCGCCGGGAAATGTTGAGTTTGTCGCTCAAAACCGTGGTGGCCCATAAGAGCGTAAAATCATTAACGATGAGAACAAATACCCAGAAAGGAGGAATAGTTCATCGCGTTTCGTGTGCTAAATTTCTGGAGAAACTGCAAGAATTCTTTCAGAGTGTATGCATGTTGTTTTGTAATTAACAATGTCACGTATTTTAACTTGTTTGTGTGTCCTTTGAAGCAACGCGATATGTCTGTGATGACCAGAGTGCCAAATTTTATTCTTTAATTTTGATCTTGTCCACACTGTGTGTATTTCATGACCTGATATTTCAACGAAAATTATCGAGAAGGTGCCTTCCGATCACCTTTGTTTACTTTTAACATTTCCACCTTTACCTTCGGTGTTAATATGTAATCCACAGTGATTTGCTTCAACACAGTGTTACCAGAGTCAACCTACACTAGCGACTAAATACAGGAATGGCTCCTACCTGTAATTGGATGATAAAAATAGTAAAAGTTAATAGTTATATCTTAACCTCTTGCTCGTGAATATTGTATAACCTTATGCCTCCCAGCAGAACAATGAATCAACAATGCGAGTGAAAACACCGATGTGTCGAACAAGAAATGGTTACTAACATAACGAAGAGAAGGCAGAGCCTTTCTTTCTCATTCCGCGGGGTCGTCCAACGATACTCCGGCAATGACTTAAGCATCTGCTTACCAACTGCGCTGACTAAACTCGTTTAGTTTAGGTGGACGATCAGAGACTGGAGCTATTCCCACATTTCACCGCTGACAGGAATGGCTACGACTGGTGCTTTTAATTTTTTTTTCGTTATGGCTAAATAATTTATACACTGAGATACACTAATAAAACTGAAAGAGTGTTTTATAAGGTTCTTCTTATGTTGAACTTTATAATACTTGCAGATGAAGCCCTCTTTTATTAATACAGGGCCATGTAGTTTCTAAGTTTTAAAATAATTCAACAACTATATGTCACGTTTGGAAGATCACGCAATGTTGCGTGGCGCTGCGACCGATATTTTTAAGTTTACAGTATGCTCTGCTAGAGAATTGTGGCTTGGCCGCAATCGAGGGGTTTTTTTTTGTGGAATGCTAATTTTCTGGGACAATTGTTCGCATGAAGGACAAATCCTTTTATCGGGCTCCTCATTTCTATTTTTGTTCAACACCTAAAGGATGAAAGTCGCGGATTAATTTAATTTTGCTTGATAATTTTTAATAACTCCACTAGACCTGAGAAAAGGAAAAAAAAAACTTCTGATCAATCAAACCAGTGGCAGCAACTCTCGCACTGAATCATGTCGAGGTACCGTGACTGCTCGCAGTGATGGCACAATCAGTCTTCGGACAGTTTTTCGGCTATAACCTGAGAGAGTAAAATGATTTTAAGATTTTTTGTTCAAAACTAATGAAGGCTGTTCATCACATGACGCTGTTTTGGAACGTATATATCTCGTTTGCTATTGTATTACTATTTTTTTTAGACAAGGTATTTATACCACTGAAATTTAAGAAAGAATTAGTACAACATAAACCACGTTTTCTGTAAAGTACACGAGCCATCCTAACCTAATTTGCAAACTGCTTTCCAGGCACCATCTGTAATAAACCTCTTAAAATCTGCTAAGTTAGCTTCTACTGCCTCTCCGGGTATCAAAGATGCCCTGTCTATATCCAATACGTCAGAAACAGACAGTTTGATGGCAGATTTAACCAGGTCTTCAATGGAGTGATGTTTTTCCTTAGTAAACCAGAGAAGCATTTCTTGTAATCACACAAGAGAAATAAACAGATGGTGAGGTGAGACATGTGTGATAGGCAAAGAGGAAAACATTTCAAACAATGAAGCATAACATGCCTTGTGCGCCATCGTTTCGCCGGATGTGAAGCCTACAGGTACTTTGCTGTTGTTCTGTTCTGATTGCTCATTATTCTTCCAATTCTCAATCATCTCCATCCTCTCTTCCTTGGTTGGGTTTTCCAACATGATATTTCTCTTCTGTGTCCTTCGTTTGGTGGAAAAGAAACGTTTCTGGACCTCAATTTTTTGTTTCAGATGCACTCCCTTAGGTATAGCAGCCGACAGTGTACTTGTCGTATACTTGTGCTGCACCATCGAAGTGAACAAACTATAAGAGGAATTGACATTTTTCTTCAACTGTTGCAGCGCATCTTCATCTTCACAGACTTTAAGGGATCGTTTCGTCCTCTCTATGATACTTTCCCCATTCTCGTCCACAGTTCCTTTATTAAAACAGTCTTGCAGAAAGTTCATCTCGTTGGTGCTGTCATGGTATGCAGTATCACTTGATGCTTCCTGGTAGTCAGGATCCATGGAGCTATTTTCTGGGCGGGGTAACTAACTAGGGTTGTCTTTACGAAGCTACCAGTCAAACATCTGTTCACGACCTTAATCAACCACTGAGAATTTTATTATATGATTGTCACACTGTCTTTTTCTTTCTACTTTCGCATCTCGCAGCCCCTCGTACGGGGACTTTCTTGTAATTGTTTCGATAAAACCGCCTGGGAGTCGTACTGATCATATAATAAATATTACTGAAAAAGTACATGGCCCTGCGTTAACAAAAATATCAATATAGGAAGAACGTAGTAAAACGCTCTTTCAGTTTTTATCTCAGTGTATAAATCATTCAGTCAAAACGAATGGTAGAAAAGAAAAAAAAAAAAAATAAAACAAAGTAAAATAATGAACGCATGAGTCGGAGCTATTCCTGTCAGCGGTGAAATACAGGAATGGCTCCAGTCTCTGGTCGTCCGCCTGAGCTGGCTAAAATGAGTTTAGTCAGTGGAGCTAGTCAGCGAATAGCTCTGTCATCGCCGGAGTATCACTGAACTACCTCATTGGATAAAAAAGGCTCTGCCTTCCCTTCGTTGTTAGTAACCATTTCTCGTTTGATGCATCGGTGTCTTCACTCGCATCGATATTTCATTGTTCCGCTTCGAGAGACACGGGTGAACAATACTCACGAGTATGGAGTTAAGATATAACTTATTAACTTTTACTAT